TGGAATGCTGCCGGGCTGAACACTTAAGGAGCACCTCTCTCTCCGGCCAGATTACATCGATTTCATTTCCCCTGGGAGTTACCCTACAGGGGCAGGCAGGCCCCAGCGCCCCTCAGGCTGTAATCAATGGCTGAATAAAGACACTTCAAGGCTTTTTCCAAAGCAGAATGTGCACAGGAAACAAATTTAGGAAATCCTGCTTTCTGTTACAGGAAATGAATCCTCCCCTGACTGGTAGAAATTATTCCGGCAGGTCCAAAGTAAAACGAATGCCGTTTTCTATGTGTATTCCAGACACTGACCTTGCATAGACCAGCAAGATTTTATTGATATAGAATTTCAAAGGTAGGATTCTAGACCCAGCCAAGCCTAGGTGGAATCCTACAGGGATTTAGAAACAGTACAGCTTTCTGAGAGATTTGGCTGGAAGTCGACGTAGCCTCCTTTCTGTCACATGGTGTATTTATATACACAGACTTGTATTTTGCAATATACATCTTTTGAAATAATTTGGAAGGCAGGTCAGTAAAATATTAACAGTGGTCACATCTTTAGTTAGCAGGATTATAGTTTGCTTTTTCTTTCCTTACCTATATTTTCATATATTCTGCCATAAACATGAAATAACTGTGCAATAATAAATAAAGTTGTGTGTGGGGGGGGATACTAATAAGGTAACACTGACCTCTGTGAAGACACCGAAGACCAAAAGAAAATACCTTTTTTTTTTTTCAATCACTACTCAGAATCTTAGAAAAACAAGACAAATCTGAATCTGAGTGCAATTAATGAACAAGAGCTGAGAAGCACAAAGCATTCCGTGGAAGATTTACCCACATGGAAAAACTCTGCCCAGCCCTAAAACAAATATATCAAAGTTCAGTGGGAACCAGGATTGGGGGACAGGCATTAAAGACCTCCCATGTGCGTGTCAATCAATAGCCAGTATTAGGAGCTCCCAGGTAGCAGTGCTGATCAGATCGTCCACATCTGAAACTTGTTCAAATTCTAGTCCCATCAAACACCCATAAGCTACTGGTTCCCAGTGTGTAACTACCAAGAATCTGGCCCTTTCACACATAACCCATTCAGGGATATTGTCTCTCATTTCCAAATGGAAAAGTGAGATCCAACAGACTAAATTCGGTGGAGAAACAATGACCCATCTGAAGCTTTCAGTTACTACAGCACAAGTCCAAATAAACGGGTTGGATTATCCACATCCATCCTCCCTCCTGCTTCTCGCTCTCTGCACACAACGCCCATTTCAGAATTTGGCCAAGGGTTATATTTTTCACCCCTAAAAATGCAGGTTCAAGTGTCAGTGGTCACGGATGGGCTGGGCTCAGAGTTGAGCTGATCCACAAACACCAAGCAGACTAGAAGGAGTCAACTACCAGGGGCTACACTCCAGGGCCCTCAAGAAGGATAAAGAAGCTACTGGTCAGGGAAAGCCATGTCCACATGTCCTTTCCTTTCTGAACTTTGGAAAAGGTTATCATTGCGGTATTCCCCCAAGCACCGTCCAGCTCTGGCTGCCTGATACTCTCCAATTAGTCCAGACCTCTACAACACTATTTACCGGAGAAGCTCCCTCCCTCCTTCATAAAATGAACAACAAAAAATAATTGGAAGCCCCTGTAACATTGGTGGAAGAATAAAATGGTTTAAAAATAATTCTGGGAATTACCTGATCATTTATACCACGAGCCTTAAAAATACTCCTTCAGTGTGACCCACAGGACTGACTGTCTGCTAAGGGGCTCATGACAACCCTCTTGTCACAGATGTGGGGAGGTACAGAGAGGTGCGACCAGCCAGGTATGGAGCTGGGACCCCAAGACTCACATGCTCAACAGTCTCACCCCTGCCGCCTACCTGGGGACAGGAGCTGCTGTCTTGTCAAACGCTGACTCCCCAGTGCCCCATCCATCGTAGGCACCCCAGAATGCCTACTGAATTAATGAGCCCAGTCACACCATTTCTAGAAATATTAGGTGTAAGGATGCTCACTGCAAATGTGTATAAATGTTGTGCTAAACATGAGAGATAACCTAAGTCCCTACAAGAGGAGAACGGTTAAAGATATTAGTGTGCATACATAAACAGTAATTATAAAAAGCGGTCTTTTAAGGATATTCAAAAAATTGGGGAAACGGGCATGATGAAATATTAAGTTTAAAATGGAGAATACAGAACTTTATGTTAAAAATTCCTGTTTTTTAGGAAACAAATATATGAAAAGATATTGGAAGATCACACATCAAAAAGTTCTTGGTCATGGGGCACCTGGGTGGCTCAGTTGTTTAAGTGTCCAACTCTTGATTTCAGCTCAGGTCATGGTCTCAGGGTCATGAGATTGAGCCCCGCACTGGGCTCCCTGCTTAGTGGGGAATCTGCCTCTCCCTCTCCCTCTGGCCCTGTCAGTCAGGGGACTGCTGTCATAAGATTAATTAGCAAGGGAGAATGGCAACTTTACCACGAAGAAACCTGGGGACACCACCTGATCCACGTGACCTTAAGTTAGCATCTTGAAAAGCAGGACACGCCAACAGCAGGTCTCCTTATAACACACACTGAGGACAGCGCCAAAGATGCAATAAACTGAGTCCGCACCGTAAAAAATGTCGTCAGACCCAAACTGAGGCACGTTCTATAATGGCCTGTATCTTTCAAAAGTGTGAGGGCCACAGTCAAGGAAAGCTGAGGAACCATTCCACATTAAAAGAGACAAGAGGTATGAGGGGTGCCTGGGTGGCTCAGTTGTTGAGCGTCTGCCTTCGGCTCAGGTCATGATCTCAGGGTCCTGGGATCGAGCCCCACATCAGGCTCCCTGCTCGGCAGGAAGCCTGCTTCTCCCTCTCCCACTCCCCTGCTTGTGTTCCCTCTTTCACTGTGTCTCTCTCTGTCAAATAAATAAATAAAAATATTTAAAAAAAAAAGTCAGACACTTAACCGACTGCGCCACCCAGGTGCCCCCATCCTTACACTTTATACTTAACTGAAATCTGGTTGTCAAGAAGTTCTATGCAGGGGCACCTGGGTGGCTCAGTCGTTGAGCGTCTGCCTTCGGCTCAGGTCATGATCCCAGGGTCCTGGGATTGAGCCCCACATTGGGCTCCCTGCTCAGTGGGAAGCCTGCTTCTCCCTCTGCCCCTCCCACTGACTTGTGCTCTCATTCTCTCTCTCTCTCTAATAAATAAAATCTTAAAAAGAGAGAGAGAGAGACAAAAGTTATGGCAACTGAATGTAGTGTGCGTTCTCGGGTTGGACTCTGATCTGGGGGGAGAAATATTCTTTTTTTTTTTTTTTTGGTGAAGAAGTCAGTGGGACAACTGATGACATCTACAGGGCAGATAATAGTACTGTATCAATGTTAATTTCCTGTTTCGGATAAATGTCCTTGTTTTTTAGAAAAAAAAAGTAAAAGAAGATCATGTCTGCAGCTGACTCTTCTAAGGTGAGGGAGAATGATAAAGCACAGGTAGAAAAAGGTTAACATTTGAGGAATCAGAGTGAAGTTTTGGTAATGGGGAATTCTTTGTACTAATTTTACAACTTTTAAGCCTGAAATTATTTCCAAGACAAAAAGTTAGAAAAAAATCCAGGTGACTTTAGGCTAAATATTTAACCTGTCTTTGACTTTTCTCTTCTGAAAATGGGGGTCATAATGGGGCCCCTTAGTTGCTAGAAAGATTAAATGAGATACAACATGGAAAGCACTTCAAATGGGATCTGATGGGCACCAAATGCTCAAGGAAAGTTACCTACTGTCATCTTTCAAGAATGAGATTACAACTGACCCAGTTTCTTCTTTATAGTTGTCTGAAATGTCCAAATGTTCCATACTGAAAAGTAATGGCTTTCATAATCAGAATACAAGTTTTCTGGAAGGGACGGAGGGAGAAGGAAAAAAGACCAGAAAGTTACCAGCTTGGTGAACTACTCCTGTGTCTGAATCACACTCAAGTCAGGAAGATAAAGAAGATCCTATTTTCATGATGAGGGCAGTCCCATCACATGATACCCCGATACCCCGGGAGGGAGAGCAATTAGGGGCTTGTTACAGAAAACCATAAAGGGCAACCATGCTAGGAGACCCTCTGTTCTTGAACATGTAATCAAATGAGTCCTGGTTCTAGCAAGAGAATGTGCTTACATAGAAACAACAACTTTGAAAATATGTGGCTTATTAGGCTTGGTCAAAACTAAACACTTTAGGGTTTCAAAGGACACCATTGCAAAAGTAAAAAGACAGCCTTCATAGTAGGGAGAAAATACTTGCAAATCATATATCCCGTAAGAGACTTTGATCTAGAATGTATTAAAAAACTCTTTTAACTGAACAACAAAAAGACACATATTTAAAAGGGGGCAAAGGATACTGGAGAGAAGAAGATACACAAGTAGCCAGTAAGGACACGAAAAGATCATCCTGAGCCATCAAGGAAAATGCAGATGAAAACCACCTCACACTCACTAGGATGGCCAGAATCAAAAGGACTGACAAGGACCCATGCTGGCAAAGGGGAAGAGAAACTGGAACCCTCATGCATCGCTGCTGGGCCTGTAAAATGATGCGGCCACTTTAGGGAGCAGCATGGCAGTTTTGAGAAGCTCAAACATGGAGTTAACACAGGACCCAGCAATTCCACTCCTACAGATACACCAAGAGACATGAAGATATATGTCCACACAAAAACTTGTGCACAAATGATCACAACAGCATTATCCGTAACAGCAAAAAAAGAAAAGAAAAAAAAGGAACAATCCAAATGTCCACTAACTGATCAACGGATAAACAAAATGTAGTATTATCCATGCAATGGAATATTAGTCATCCATAAAAAGGCCTGGGGGTTGATACACACCACTACGTGGATGAATCTGGAAAACCAATGCTAAGTCAAAACAGCCAGACACAAATGTCACATACTGTACATTTCCATTTGTATGAAATGTCCAGAATAGGCAAATCCAGAGAGACAGTTAGTAGGGGGAGGGCAGGGGCTTGGGGGAGGGCAGGAGTCCAGGAGAACATGGGATGGAATGCTTCCTTTTAGGGTGCTGAAAATGTTCTTGATTGTGCTAACGGTTGCGGAACTCTGTGAATATACTAGAAACACTGAACTGTGTATGTTAAATGAGCCCTTGTATGGTACGTGCACTATAACTTAATAAAGCTGGTATTTTTTAGAAAAGGGAAGGTGTGGTTTAAGTGAGACCTTGTGCCCTTATGAGCTGGCCATCTGAATCACAAACAAGATCTCTTTCTCCCTGCTTATTTGGGATATATCTGGAGCCCAAGAGTATTTGTTCTAGAGGGAAGCAAGTCTTGTGTGCATCTGAAAATGTGTTTCCCTAGCAGCACGGTATCCTCCTGGCTCACGTCTGCTGACAGGTGGTTCCCTTGTGGAACCCCACCTCCAGCACGTGGAAAATGGGCACAGCATCTCTCTGTGTGTCCAGCCGCCTCTGCCTTGGGTTTACCTCATCTGGGCTGGACGCCTGGTACACGCGGCAGGAGTCTTCGTACTGCTTCTCGGCCTCAGCCTGGTCGGTCACACCGTTGGACTCGTACACGGGAGTCACATTGTGGCAGAGAGCGATGGCCTTCACAGCCTCGTGCACACGGCTGCTCATGGTCCGCCGGACTTTGGTGGTGAGCGTGGGGCCCTTCTGAGCAGGTGGATCCTGGGATTGCTACAGGAGAAAGAAATGAACAAGAAAGATGACTGGAGACACAGAAGGGTCTAGAATGTGTGGAAGAACCACCATGTGGAGATACTGCTTTTCTTTTCATGACGTTAATACACAGCTCTTGGATACATCTACAGTGACGCTGCAATAAATGGCATGTGATTTTTAGGGACCCAATCATTTATAATTGGCAAAAAAAAAAAAAAACCCAAATGCAAAACAGAGAAAAACATTACAATTCAGTGAATGTGGGTGATTCTACCTTTGAACACATGAATCTGTCCTCCTTTGGGTGGTGTCAGGGGCCCCTGACAGAGTGAGGCCCCCACTACGCCGTCAAGTGAGGCTGGTGTAGGAGGCCAGGGCTTCTTAAACTGGTGCGACTGACACTTGGGGAGGATAACTCTCTGTTGCAGGGGCTGCCCTGCACTTAGTCTTCAGTAAAACTCAGATGCCCCCCACCCCATGGTCAATGGGGCCTACCTGACCAGCCCCTGCCCACCTCTGCAGCCTCCCTTCATGCCATGTTCCTTCTCCTCTCTGCTCCGGCCTTTCTGTTCTTTGAATACCACCAAGCTCCTTCCTGCCTCAGGGCCTTTGCACCTGCCTTGCCCTCTGCCTGGAACATCATTTCCCAGAACTCAGCAGGGCTGGCTCACTGTGTCTCATCACCGAGATCTCAATTCAAATGTTACATACTCAGAGAGGCCCTCGCCGAGGCCCCCAGCTCACGGTACCCTGCATGTCCCCCCCACCAGAGGTCATGCCCCCTCACTGCAATGTGTGATGCTGTGTTCAGTCTAAAACGGGCTCGTTCACCTGAGGATTCCCCTGGTAAACCATGAGAACAGAACTTGTCCGTGTGTATTATTCATCATTGCAAGCCTAGGACCCAGGGCAGTGCCTGGCATACATCTATATTTGCTGAACAGATGAACCAATTAACAACTCAGGACTTCTAAGATGATGGTGGGGCGTCCTCCCATGACATGACGGTTTTTTCTATTTCCAAGAAGAAATAAATATCAAATCAACCAACATCCCTTCCAGGTTTTAAATCACAGTTGTGGACAAAAGGAACCCCTTGCAATGGTCTTCCTCTACAGCTATCGGAGTCCCGGAAGTTAGAGAGGTCTCTGGACTTACTGGGTGCTGCATTCCATTAGAAGCATATTTGATCCAACAGAAGAGAAGCGACCCAATCCCGCAGAATGAATCGCGTTTTATACCCATGAACACATGGTTGCCCAAAACAGAGAACAGATGGGTCACAAGAAATAAGAAAACGACTTTCATTTAATTTTTTAATACTATTTTCAGCAGTGGCATTAGCCTCCCCAGGTAATTAGACAATTACTAAATTATTCTGGTCATGCAGGCACACATACTGCTAGGGCTTCCTGCTCTGTTAACCTCTGGTGTCAAGAGGACACGAGTTTCACTTCCAGGCCAAAGGGCACTGCATGGTTACGGTAATTAGAGCAATGAATCAGAACTACAGTTTAAATGAATCATTATTTGCCAAGTGCTTTTAATTATAAAGAATTTAACTCTAAAATTATAACAAGGACTGAAGATTTACAGAAAGGTTCTCTCCGCTGGAAAGACTACATTCAGAACGTTCTCTCTAAGCTCTGTAATTTATGTTCTAGGCACAGCCACGTGTCTTCCTTTTGCCCACATTCCTTGGCACCTGGACCAAATTATTATTTGACATTAGGGGCAATAACAAGGCCTCTGACAATGTCATTGCTTTGGCTGGCAAGTTTCAGTAACAGTGGGTTTGAAGGAAAGGACAAGCGAAGGGCATCCTTTACAAACCTTTGATTTGTATAAGCCATCTGATTTCACATCTCCAGAAATAGTTCCACTAGTATTTCAAATGGGGGATAACACCGAGCTCTGGGGCTTTGTATTCCAGGGGAAACCAGCCAAGAGCAAGGCAAAGAGAGAAACACGGTAGCCACAGATTTCTTGCAAAGACCTCACTTCCAGACCAGGGAACCAGCTGACATCAAATCAGGACACGGGGTGATTAACCTCAACCAACACCACGGGCCACAGGTGTAATGTCTCCACGTTCATTTATTTCTCTCTCAAATTAATACTTATCCCCCTTTCCGACCAAAGATGTTTCAGGGAGGAGGAATTAAAATCACGGATTCTGAAACGGGTCTTTTAATTCTCAAAGGAAAGGCTCAGCCACACACCAATGGCAATCCACGTCCACCTTGAAGGTGCTGGTAATTACCAGGGGCTCAGCCAGCATCAGGAGGAGGGCCCAGTCTTCAAACATCCTCACATTCCCCATATGGAAGAGTTTCACATCGCACAGTGTTTATCTGCAGCCTCCTCCCCACAGGCCTTGAACCTACACACATTTCTCTTTACTTAAAAAATACCAGGGGAAAACAAAAACAGATGTGGTATCCACAGAGGCAGGTTACAACTCTTTCTGCCCTGGGGAGAAACACGGGTCCTCTTGTGGAGGGGGGACAAAGCAGCTCCACACGAGGTCAGAAGCTGGAAGAGGAAATCGAGGCCTCCACAGACAAAGGCCCCTGACATGGGCCCTTGGGTGGCTACCTCACACCATATAACGCTTCAGGGTCGTTCTCCATGTCCCAGCCAACATGTGAGACACAGAGGTGAAAATGAACAATAGGCCTCCATGTCTTTTTTTTTTTTTAAAGATTTTATTTATTTATTTGATAGAGAGCACAAGTAGGCAGAGAGGCAGGCAGAGGGAGAGGGAGAAGCAGGCTTCCCGAGGAGCAGGGAGCCTGACGCGGGGCTCGATCCCAGAACCCTGGGATCACAACCTGAGCCGAAGGCAGACGCCTATCAACTGAGCCACCCAGGCGCCCCTAAGCCTCCATGTCTTGCTAGTGATCCACGGCAGGGCCCCTTCCCAACAAGAACGCCAGTCTGTCTTAGAGGAAAGATTAATACAAAAATTAAACATTGATTCCCCACAAATATCTGTTTTCTTTCTAAAGGCAATTAAAATGTCGCCACTTAGGAGCGTTCATAATAATGGATACTGGGAATGGTTTGCAACTGGTAAAAATACATTTACATAAAAGAGGAAGAATTCCTGTTTCGAAAGCCTCACTTCACTCCTCCAAATAAAGCTCAAAGCTGATAGCTCATTAACCTCAAAGGATCACCCCCACAGAGATAGGCTCAGAGCTTCTACTTCCAAATAAGTCAATTGAGTTAGAGGACGATTAAGTGACTGAAAAAACTTAATGTTTACTACTCCATAGACATCTTTCAGCACGACAAAGGCAACGAATTTCAATTTGTTGAAAGTGAACCCCATGTAACACAGGGTTTTGCCCCCCATCAGTGTCCAGAGATATTCCTGGTTCTTAGAACTGAGGGAGGGGGGCACCTCAGGCATCCAGATGGTAAAAGGCAAGGATGCTACTAGACGTTACGATGCACACACAGCCCGCACCACCGAGAATGATCCAGCCCACTATGTCACTACGCCAAGGCTGAGAACTGGGGTATAAAGCCACTGACACCACGAAACCAGGGCCAGGACTAGGGTGAGGGATGTGAGCCTTCACAGTACCAATCAGAGCTGGATCCCGTTGATTTCAAATTTCAGATTTGTGTTCATCACGGAGTTCTGCACTGAATTTTTAAAATATTGCATTACGATGTGATTTATCTTGATCGCTGTGTTGTGGGTTGTTGCGGAAGGTTTTTTCGGCATCTCATTAAGTTTTGTCCCCCAGGTGCATACCTCAGTCTCCTTACCCTAGTCCTGACCCTGTTATAAAACCACTGATGGTGGTGGTCTGGCGGGCGGGGGGCAGCCGGGTGGCTCAGTTGGTTAAGCGTCTGACTTTGGCTCAGGTCATGATCTCAGAGTCCTGGGATGGAGTCCTGCATTGGGCTCCCTGCTCAGAGGGGAGCCTGCTTCTCCCTCTCCCTCTGCCCCTCTCCCCTTCTCCCCTGCTTGTGCACACACTCTCTCTCTCTCTCTCAAATAAAGAAAATCTTCTTAAAAATAAAAAAACCATTAAAAATGATTGTCATCACTGACATGAGTGAAAAAAGTAAGTTTGATAGTGATATTCTTTTTTTTTTTTTTTTAAAGATTTTATTTATTTGAGAGAGAGAGAGAATGAGAGAGAGCAAGCACATGAGAGGGGGGAGGGTCAGAGGGAGAAGCAGACTCCCTGCCGAGCAGGGAGCCCGATGCGGGACTCGATCCAGGGACTCCAGGATCATGACCTGAGCCGAAGCAGTCACTTAACCAACTGAGCCACCCAGGCGCCCTGATAGTGATATTCTAACAGTGGTTCTTAACTAGAAATGGTTCTCAGAGTAACCAATAAAGATTTTAAGAAATATGTGTTTGGGCCCCCTATACCTAAAGAACGCAGTAAGGCCCACGCATGATGCATATATACATATACATAGATATACATATATATACATATATGTGTGTGTGTGTCTCAAAACACTTGTCTCAAAACATTCTGATCACATAATACGCTGAGAAAAAAAGAGGGTTTTTTTTTTTTTTTGAAGATTTTATTTATTTGTCAGAGAGAGAGGGAGCGAGAGAGCACAAGCTGGGGGAGTGGCAGGCAGAGGGAGAAGCAGGCTCCCTGTGGGACTTGATCCCAGGACCTGGGATCATGACCTGAGCTAAAGGCAGATGCTTAACCGACTGAGCCACCCAGACTCCCCATGGCAAAAAAATTCTTGAGTACCCTCCATATGTGTATTTAACTTTGTATAAATATTGTATTGCGCCTTATAAAACAACAAAAGACGAATTCCAGAAATGATAGGACAAAAATGAGAAACAGCATTTTTCACAGAATTGACTAATGCATTCAGGGTAAGGGGCACTGAGCATTATAGATTTGAAATGACATTTCAGATGGTCACGTGTGTCATTCCATCACAAAGGGGAATGATGCGTGGATGCATGTTACCACCTGGAGGCACCTCGAAGACATTATGCTAAGTTTCCGGAATAAACCAGGTGCAAAAGGCATTGTAAGATTCCACTTATATGAAACGTCTAAAACAGGCAAACCTACAGACACAGAACGTAGACTGGTGGTTGCCAGGGGCTCAGGAGTAGGGGTGGGAGTTGAAGAGATTATGGGGTTTCTTTAGGGGGTGATGAAAATGTTCAGCAATCAGAGAGTAGCAATGGTTGCATGGTGCTGAGAATACACTAAAAAACACTGAATTGTACACTTTAAAAGGGTAAATACTATCCTTGTGAATTATATCTCAATTTAAAAAATTTTTTTTAGATTTTTTGATTTGAGAGAGAGCACATCCATGCTCAGGAGGGAGGGGCAGAGGGAGAGAGAAACTTTAGAAGACTCCGCACTGAGTGTGGAGCCCAACACAGGACTCAATGTGGGGCTCGATCTTACAACCCCAAGATCACAACCCAAGCCAAAACCAAGAGTCAGATGCTTAACCAATTGTACCACCCAGACGCCCCTCTAGCTCAATTTTTTAAAAAGGTACTAATAAATAAAGAAGCCAAAGGAAAAATCATCCTATCTCCTTAGCCTGTCTTGGTTTTTTTCCTCAAGAAGAGTTGGGCATTTTCTTATGGTTTACTTGGGTTTATATTAATAATGTGGAGTCTCCCTGCAGAAATCTTTTAAAGCCACCTATTTATGAGGTTTAGTTAAATGACATCCCTCAAATGGGTCACATGGACACTCATCACCTGCAATCTACATCTCCATGTCCTGAAAATAAACCTCCTCAGAACTCCGACTCCTGAGACTCCTTCCACAAGACACCTCAGGACTGGACCTGACAGACGCTCGTCTGATATACAGACTGAGGGTCCCTGGCTATCAATATTTAAGATTTAAATTTTGCTTCAATGGGGCACCTGGGTGGCTCAGTTGTTAAGCGTCTGCCTTCGGCTCAGGTCATGATCCCAGGGTCCTGGGATTGAGCCCCACATTGGGCTCCCTGCTCCGCGGGGAGCCTGCTTCTCCGTCTGCCTCTCCCCCTGCTTTTGCTCGTTCTCTCTCTCTCAAATAAATAAAATAAAATCTAAAAAAATAATAATTTTAAATTTTACTTCAAGTTTGAAGATGCAAATGCAGAGCAAACAGATGCCCTAATCTTTTCGGGCATCTCACAAACTCTGTTTTGGACTCCACAGATTTCTGGAAAAGAGGGCAAACCTCAGGTTCACAGTAGCTGTTCTTAAACACTGCTGTGCTTTGGAATCACCTGGCTCACCTGTTAGAACTGTAGGTCTAGAGAGTCCGACTGTCCCAAGGGATCTGACCCAGGAGTTCCAAATAGTGGACTTCATGAAACACTGGCATAAAATCCCATTATTAAACTCTGAAGTCAAGTGAATGACTGTAGAAGCTCGGGGGAATCTTTTTGGGGTTGTGGTAATGGTTCCACAGCTCTGTAAATTTACTAAAAAATCACTGACTCGGACACTTAACAGAGATGCATTTTATGATAGGTAAGCTACACCTCCATAAAGCTGTTTTAAAAACCTGGGAAAGCCTCTGAAAGCCTCATCACAAACGTATTCACATGTTCACTGTAGGATTTTTAGATGGCGTGAGAGAAGAATGCACACACCTCGCTGGGGTGAGCGGGTACTGTAACTCCGAGCTCACACTAGCCTCGAGATGACCCAACCCTATAACACTATTTTAAATCCAAGGCCAGGATGGGTAAATGAATTTATGAGCTTCCGCTAAGGAAGGGGTATGGAGTAGCGTTCACGGTAAGAAATGTCCTTTTCTGACTTGTAACGCTTGACAAAGAGTGTTATCTGTGCTAAAGCAAAAATGGACCATAAAAGCTGAGCTGTGCAAATATCCTGAGAAGGAATGGTTTCTGTAAACACCACAAGCTTTTAAAAACACCACCCAAATGGGCAAGGGGGTGTCTGCTGCTGGGGAGCGGGGCACACACCCTGGCTGTGAAGCTGGTGGGTACAATCATCAGCCGGCCAGCAGGGCTGAGAAGAGGACTGGAGGAAGGGGGGTTCAGCCAGGTGCTGGTGAGCTGGACAGCCCACACAGGGGACCCCCTCGGGTGGGGCCCGGAAGGCATCTGGGGTCAAGGGTGCGGAGGGAAGAGTCACAGAAACAAGGCAGCTCACCCTGCCCTAAGCACCGAAGGAGCGAGTGGAGGAGGGTGAATAACAGGAGGGGTGTGGTGGGGACGCAGGCCAGTCCTGGAGTACGGGGAAGTCTCAGCCCCAAGACGGAGTTAACAGTATAAGGGGCACCCCATGCTCCCAGGAACAGCAGGGAAACTGTGCAGGGTAGGGAGGGTGGGGGGGGAATGCGTGTAGACAGCCAGGAAAGGGAGAGTGTACTTTTGGCCTAGCGAGTGAGAAGAGATGAAGACAAAAGGCCTAACACATGATCGGGTGGGAGCAGACATCCCCGAGGGCCTGGAACTGAAGGGATGGGGAAGGAGGGGGCGTTTCTCAAATCCTTGGAGGGAGCAATGGGCGGGCGGGGGGGCGGGGGCACTTACTAAGACAAGAGCCTCTGGAAGAGAAGCAGGTTAGTGGATGCGGGAAGAAAGGACTGTAGGTACATTGTCCTTAGGATCCGTAAGCAGCCAAGCATGCAGGTAACTTCCAGTCTAAAGCTCCAGGTTGGGGCCACAGACAGAGACGGGGGCCGCTGGCGGGGGCGATGGAAGCTGGGGGAGGAAGGGACTGCCTAGATAGGGACACACGGGGGCCAGTACAGAGTTGTGGGGGCTGATGGGTCAGAGGAAGGGACAGGAGGCTGGATGTGGCTTTTCCTTCCTGTCCAAAGAAGTCCTCATGAGTTTTTAAGAGTCCTAAAGTATATCTTTGAAAATAGTCCAAGGATCCGTTTGGAGACAAGCCACAAATGCTGAACTCAGGGAGCCTAGAAGAATTATAGGTATTTCACTTTACAGGGATCAAATTAACTGTCCTCCATTTAAAATTCACTCCAACTTCCAAACTGTTTTTTTTTTTTTTTTAAAGATTTTATTTATTTATTCATGAGAGACAGAGAGAGAGAGAGAGAGAGAGGCAGAGGGAGAAGCAGGCTCCCAAGGAGCAGGGAGCCTGATGTGGGACTCAATCCCAGGACCCTGGGATCATGACCTGAGCCGAAGGCAGACACTTAACCATCTGAGCCACCCAGGCGCCCTTCCAAACTGTTTTCACTGCTCTGCCATTTTCAGGAGATAACCCTAGAAGTCCGGGCGTGCCTACCAGTGAATGTTCCAGAAAACTAAACGTCCAATGTAACCATGGCGTGAAGTATTCAGGAGTTCTACCTCTATCCCTTATTGGGAAATAGTTCCTTTGCATTTCTAACTGGTCTTCTGACACCTGAATCATTATCTATTTTGACAAATTTAAGCAAAACGTGGCCTCTTTATTCTCATCTCCAGACAAGTGCCACAACGTGTGGCTGGTCCGTCAGCCCTGATGTGTCTCAGAATTACCAAGGCACCTGTCTGTGTGTCATCTTCATTTTGAAACAAAGAACCCAGCTCTCCCCTAATCCTAATGAATCGGAACCCCTCAGGTAAGAGGCCCAAGTCAACGTCCTTCCTTTGGTTTTTGTTCCGTTTTGTTTTTAAAATATCACCAGTGGTTCTGAGTAGCCAAGGTAGGGACTCACGGGTATAACTTTTTAAGAATATTAGGACACTTTCCAGTAATATCTTTCTCTGAAAAAGGATTGATCTTGAAAAACCTTGTGGAAACAAATGTGGGAGCAGAGAAGTTGTAGGCCACCTCTGACAAATTATCCCTTCCACGCGATCACGGAGTTGAAAGCAGACGAGAAACTGAAGCTCATCAGTGACAGTTTTTCATGAGCAGATCACTCATGACTACTGCTTTGGCTTCTAACCAGGGAAGAGCAGTAAAGCTAACCAGTGGGCTCCCAAAGCTATTTTTCGTACTAGTTATTGGCAAACAAGTTTCTCTTAGGTTTTTCCCAATATTCATAAGCATTTCAGTAGAGCAAGGTAACTCTGGGAATGAGGAATATGGGGGTGGGGGAAGGATCTCAACTGCAATTTTAATCAAAACATAAAGGACTGGTAGTTGCCCTGGGTTTGGAAGGGGAAGTGGTTGGGGAGGAACAGGGAATGACGGCTAATGGGGATGGGGTCTCTTTTTTGGGTGATGAAAACAAAATTGATTACGGTGATAGTTATACAACTCTGTGAATACACCAAAGACCACTGAATTGTACCCTTTAAATGGGGGAACTGTACAGTATTAGGAAGAATATCTCAATACAGGTGCTAATAAATGCAAAAGAATTGTTTCAGGTATCAAAACAGAAGGTTTTACCTGGGTATAAATACTAAATATGTGGCTCTGTACTTCATCCATTGAGTCCAGGCCATAGGCCACGGTGCCCAGATGGAGCCGTTTGAAAACCATCTCATTCTGGGTAAGAGTTCCTGCAACACAAGACAGATGAGTAACTCTGCCTACATCCTGGGGCTTCTAGTAACACGAAGGACAGCTCTCGTTTTCTGAGCGTTTACTACTCTACGTCATATACAGGTTTCAGCACTGCGCCTGTTGGGGAGATGTCTGCGGTATTGATTTGGTCTGCCGGAATCTAACTCCTTTTCTTTGGAAAATGGCATCCTGGGTTTCCATGGGGGAAATGACCACCCTCATTCCTTGGGATGGTCTAGAGGGAGGGTCAGGCAGGGCGCCTGACTCATTCCATCAGCCGAGATAGTGGCACATGACTTACACTAGATTCTGTCTGGAAGAAATCTGAATCTTGAGATTCTGAATCTGAATCTCTCACCCCAGTGAGAGAGTCCTACAGCGACTATCCCAGGGGTTCTGATGCTGACATACCCAGAAATTTTCTGGTTCTGTTCCTTCCTGAAACCTCATTTTTCTCTGATGTGGTGAGCCACCCCAGATCTTTGCAACAGACTCACTTTTGTCCCACGGTCACTAAGCGGTAGAGAGGAAGCTTAACCCCAGGTGTCCCCACTCCCCCCCGTCCTTGCTCTTAGCCACTCTGATGGTAAGTTGTGGGGCAGTGTTTTGGGGTGCAGTGTTGAGGACTCGAAGCCAGACTGCCCAAGCTCGAAGCCTGTTTCTGTCACCCTGTGCTTCTCACAAGGCAGTCAACCTCCCCATGCCTCATTTCCTCATCTGTAAAATGGGGATTAAAATGCCTACCTCACAAGATGAGGTTGAGGATTAACTAAACAACCCTCTATGAACACCCAGAAAAGTGCTTTGCACATAATTAGTACCGTGTAAGGTTTTGCTGCTTGATGGTGAGGACAATCATCACCAGCATTATCACCAAAGAATCAACATTCATCAAAAGGTGAAGGGAATAAAACAGCAGTAAGCATCCATCTCTAACATCTCCAGAAAGAGAATCCAAGCACCTCCCCTCACCGTGAAGCCTGGGAAGGCCCCGAAAACAGCTCACCTGTCTTGTCCGTGAGTAAGTAAGAAATCCTCCCCAGCTGCTCAGGGATGGTGCTGGAACGAACCACAGTCCCGGGGATTTTCGAGTCCCTCCGAATCACCCAGCTGTACACAATCTTGCCCATGTCCAGGTTCACACGCAGGCTAGTCAGAACACCAGAGCAAACACCAGGTTAACAGGATATCCTCGAGGCTCCTTGTGTGTCTGTTTGCAGACAGCAAGGACCCCAAAACACATCAGAGGTGCCACAACATTTGGAAACCCTCCCCGTAGCCACACAGCCTTGAGGCCAGATCCACAGATTCAATGAATCAACAGCACTCTCAGATATCTCACTGACCACATCATCACTTCCACGAAGCTATTTTGTTTTGGACTAAAATAAAACAATGGAAGTCTAAAATGCTTTTAAAATACTGGAAATGGGGGCACCTGGGTGGCTCAGTGGGTTAAGCTTCTGCCTTTGGCTCAGGTCATGATCCCAGGACCCTGGGATCAAACCCCACATCAGATCAGCCGGGACTCTGCTCCTCCCTCTCCCCTCTTCCCCACCCCACATTCTCCCTCTTTCTCTCTCTCAAATAAATAAATCTCTTAAAAAAGAGAGAAACCATTCGGTGTACAGCTCAGTGGCATTAAGTATAATCACACTGTTGTGCAACCATCCCTCTCCAGAACATTGTATCTTCCCAAACTGAAATCCCATAACCATTAAACAACAACTCCCCACTGTCCCCTTCCTCCAGCCCCTGGCACCCACCACTCTCCTTTCTGTCTCTCTGAACTTGACTGCTCTAGGGACCTCACGTGGGAAGACTCATACAGCATTTGTCCTTCTGGGACCAGCTGATGTCACCCAGCGTAACATCTTCAGGGCTCATCCCTGTTGTACTGTGGGTCTGAATTTCATTCCTTCTTAAGGCTGAATGATATTCCATTACATGTACTCTGTTCATCTTGAACTATTATTTTATTGCAAAAAGTAAAATCAAAAGAACGTCAAATTCATTCATACTCCTATAAATTAACCAAACTGCCTACTATTTTACTGGCCAGCCATTGGCCACAGGAAGATTCAACTCACTGATTTTCAATCACGTTGTAGACAGAACTTTAAAGATCACAACTTCACTTAACGTTACACCACAAACACTTTTTCGCTGGTGATAGAGCAGATGTATTTTTCTTTGAAACGATGATCTACACCACACTGGCTAGGGGTCCAATTCCCCTGTTCTAGGGACACTGCGGTACCAAAACTACAATCCCTCTCCTCAGGAAAACATAAATTCTAGCTGGGATGATATAAATACCCAAAGAGCAAGACAAATTATAAGGCAACATATCGAGTTTAAGATAGAGATTATAAGCACTACAAGCTTCAGGAAAAAAAATGATTTATTTTAATAATGATTTACTAAACATCAATTACGGGGGAAAGTAAAAACAAGTCCCCAACAATACAGAGCTAAATAGTTAGACCTGGAATATATAATAGGTCAGTTCTAAAATATATTGGGGTACCAGTATATTTGACGGGCAAAGTTATCTGCAACACATCTCTCTGTAAAAAAAAAAAAAAAAAGGTAGATTTTACGTAAAGCAGAAAGAATCCCACTTTAAAAGAGAAAGCAGCTGAGAAAAAATATATGCCAAAATATTAAGAGCACCTCTCACTTAGTTGTGAGATAGAGAGGTGATTCTGATCTTATTCTTTTGCCACTGTGAATCTCTGTTCTTCCCTACTATGACAATTACTTGCATCATTTTTCTAAGAGCATTTATTCAGCCTCCACGGAAGGCAGGCAAACAGGTGGTACGAGCCACCACTGCTCATCAATCACCGTACTTCCCTTTGAGCGCAGACCTGAGCCCAGGATCTGTCTCAACACAGCGTCCCAGCGGCCACCACCAACCTCGTGAGCCGGCAGATGAGATGGGCTCTAAATGGCATCCCTGGCACAGTGCAGGCAAGGCAAGATCTTTTGAGGGAAGACTAATTCAGGAAAGGTTGGTTCAGGGACGAACTGCACTTCCCCTGCTGGAGCCACAGAGCAGGGCTGACATTCCTGACTACTCTCCATCATCGTTCTTCAAAGGGACCACGAGTAAAGAGAAGAAAACGTCATGGCTCATTCTCGGCTTACCTGATGGGAATGATGTTGGAAAACAAGAGGAGGAAGCGGATGATCTGGAGGTACCAACGCCCAGCAAAGTGCTGAAGGGCGACCATGACCAGCGACACCACCACCAAAGCACCAAAGAGGATCTTGGTGAGGCAGTTCACTTCCAGGTCAAACAGGCCAATCTGTGGGACGATGCACAGGGGAGCTTGTGATTAGCTGGTGCACCCCGGCGCCCACCTGGAGAACTGGTCCCTCACTCAAGAACACCTGCCCCCCAGGTGAGACAGTGGAACCCATCAATCCCTGTATCTTTGGCTGAGAACACTGGGCTCCAGGGACTGGGGTTCCTAACAGACATCCAAGGGACCTCAAAGAATTCTAATTTTTTTTTTTTTTTAAAGATTTTATTTATTTGACAAAGAGAGACACAGCGAGAGAGGGAACACAAGCAGGGGGAGTGGGAGAGGGAGAAGCAGGCCTCCCGCGGAGCAGGGAGCCCAACGCGGGGCTCGATCCCAGGACTTTGGGACCATGACCTGAGCCGAAGGCAGTTGCTCAACAACTGAGCCACCCAGGCGCCCCTTTTTTTTTTTTTTTTTTTTAACAATTAAGAAGACGAGGGCGCCTGGGTGGCTCAGTTGGTGAAGCGTCTGCCTTCAGCTCAGGTCATGATCTCAGGGTCTGGGAATTGAGCCCCGCATCAGGCTCCCTGCTCAGCGGGGAGTGTGCTTCTCTCTCCCCCACTCCCCCTGCTTGTGCTCTCTCTCTCTCCCTCAAATGAAATAAAAAAAAAAAAAAAAATCTTTAAAAAAAAATGAAAAGACAGTAAGTCTATATAAATAAAATAACAGTGTTAGGTGTTCCTGTCTTTAAAGCTAGCTCCTCGCCCACCAACACCAATCATCAAACTCCATCAAGTCAGAAAGTTGTGACAAGGAAAGGCATCATCCTCTGACCACGTACACACCTTACTTCGAGGATTTGAAGTGTTCATGACACTCCGGAGTTCTCTGCCGGTGTAAAGAACAACACCCACAACAGTACCTGAAACGAGAAAAGCGAAAAGCGCAACGCAAAGAAATGTTAACACAGACGATGATCCAAGGCCACAAGGACCAGCACGGTAGCCACTGGCCACAGGCTGCCATTTCAATTTCAATACAATTTAAATTCAACAGAAAGTAGTATATCCAGTTCCCCACCTTCCCTCCACTTTCACACAGTTTCAAGTGCTCGGTAGTCACTGTGAAGATACAGAGCACCATTATTGTTGCTAAAAGGTCTACTGCTCAGCGAGGGTCTATGGGGTCCCCTGGGGGGGCGGGGGGGGGAGTGGAGGTCTGTCCTTCATGCCTCCGCCCTCAGAGCCTTCCAGAGGTGCTTAGAACATTCCTATCTTCACACACTATTATGGAAACTTACAAACACACTCTTCTTATTAGAGCCTTCTTCCTGCTGATTCTGTGTCTAACTAGAATACTTGCGGGTTATCTGTCCAGATGACCATTCTTTCCTGAGAACTTCCCCACCCCTTCTCACACCTCCCCCACCCCTGCTTATCAATCTTTCTAAAAGTCAACAATTTATAGAAGAAACACAAAAGGCCAGTTAACATGAGAAAAGATGCTCAACTTTGTGAATAATCAAAGAAATGCAAAATAAGGGGCGCCTGGGTGGCTCAGTTGGTTAAGCATCTGCCTTCGTCTCAGGTCATGATCCCAGGGTCCTGGGACCGAGCCCCACATCCAGCTCCCTGCTCAGCGGTGAGCCTGCTTCTCCCTCTCCCTCTGTCTGCCTCCCTGCCTACTTGTGCTCTCTAGCTCTCTGTCAAATAAATAAATAAAATCTTTTTTAAAAATGCAAAATAAGCCACTTTTATCCCTATCTCAACAACAAAAATTCCACAGATTGATAACATCCAGCGTCTCCGCCAAGAGGCGGAGAAATGGGCCCTGTCGTAACATGCTGTTGGCTGGAGTGTAAAGGGGAACAGTCTGTTTTGGGGTGAAACTGGTAATATCTATTAAACATTTACCTGTCTCCCCTTTTCAGTGTATGCCACGAAAACGCTCAACACAGTGGGGAAGACAGATGATGAAGGAGGAAACAAGAAACAGGTAATCACAGACGGCGGCAGGTGCCATCGTGAAAATCAGGCGGAGGAACAGACTGGAAAGGAGTTGAAGAAGCCTGCTGGTTGGTATGGGTCAGAGAAGCAGTCTTTGAGTTCAGGACACCTAAGCAGGAGCCTGAACCCTGAGAAGGGGCCAGCCCCACCAAGCTCTCAGGGAGGATGCCAGGAACACAAGCAATCTGGTCTCTGCTAGGAACAAGGAACACCTAAACTCTCCTCCCTCAGAGGGAGATGCAAAACCTCAGAGAGCTTCAAACAGAGCCCAAGCCCAGAGGAAGTGCTAGGACTGTGTCTCCCCGACAAAGCCCCAGGAGGAGACACTGAAGTCCCCGCTCCACGCTTAATGCACACAGTGCGGTCCCTTCCAGGCAGGCTCAGCAGAAGGCAGGCCGGGAGAGCTCACTTGCTGGCTCCTTGGCAGATGGGTCCTGCACAGATGTGGTCGGTCTCGGTCGCCGAGGTCCAGGGTTCAAGAGGGTGCTGATAACAAGGGTCCCTGAACAGGTCCTCCACCGGCACCGGCCAGCCATGAGGCCTCCCAAGGCTGAAATGAAAACGGCCCTTCTCCCCAGTGCCTGCCTGAGCTCAAGGCCGAAACCACTCCCATAATATCTAAACACCAGCCACAGTCACCAAGAGAAAAACCACACACGTGCGCTGGTTTGTTCTATACTGGGCTTCAAGGGTTTTGAATTCATCGCCATCTTTTAAATACAGGAACTTTCATATAAAAAATTGAGAATTCTGGCTTCTCCTGGAGAATCAGGAGATCTGGTGACACTGGGTCCATATTACCAGCAGGTGTCAAGCACGGGCACTCCCTTTATCCAGGGGCAAGCTCTCGGCTCATCCTGGTCCCCACGCAGCCCAATCCACCCCTTCAAGACCTCGTGACCCAAGCCTCTCTGCCCCCCACTTCCCATGCTGTCAGCTCCGATGTCCCCCTCTCCCGCCCTCTGCAGTGGGCAAACTGCAGAATCCTCGGCCAGCTGGTTTCTCCAAGTCAGAATGCTGTGGTCGGGTGTCACACCAAGTTCTCCCTAACTCTCCACGACAGCACGGTCCTCGGGTCAGGGCCTACTCTGTGACCCCTTTGTCCCTGTCTGCAACAAGATAAATGCCACCCCCAAGAGTAAGCTTTCAGAAACGTTTACAGCAGTAGACACTGCTGTGACATTCAAGCATGCGACCACGGGACGAGTCCCACTGAACAGGGTCTAGACCAGCTGGACATGATCAAACCCATGTGGCAAGGTGCGCAGGGCGACAGCAGGGCCAGAGGCTGATCTGCTGTAGACTGGGGTCGGGGGAGGCAGCCGCACAACCAACTGGAGAGTCTGAGAAGAACGGGGCCCCATAACACCGGGGCCACCCTCTCTGCCAAGCCCCCAGGCAGCCCCCCATCCCTTCCCTATCTCACCCCAGTGACCACTCAGCCTAGCAGCACTGGGTTGGGTTGCCATGATAACCGCGTCCTCTCTAGGTTGATGCCAGCCAAGGCAGCTGGACCCTAGGCACTGCCTGGGAAGCTTTTTCATTTTTTTAAACTTTCAAGTGATAACAGTTGAGTGACCAAAACACAGGAGTTAGATTATAAAGAGAACAGAGAAGTGAAATCTCACAGAATTAAGATGACTAACAATGGCTGTTTCTTGAGTGGAGCACCAGGAGGAAATGGCTTGTATATAACTTCATGCGTGCATTAGAATCAGAATGCAGAGGACTCCTCACTGAGAAGCAGGGGAAACTGAGGCCAGCTGAGGAAACAGTAAATGTCCAGCTTCTCAGACTCACTCCAAAACCTACGCCCGCTGGAGGACTTGGCAGGTAATGCCACCAGATCACTGGAATCACTGCTCTCTCTTCCCACATCACCAATCACACTTTGAAATCTTTTCTCCCATCTTCAAGATCCCAACCTGTTTTCCACTCTCTGCCTCCCAGAAGAGGACCTCCTAGGCTGTGTGACCTTAGGCAAGCTGCTTAACCTCTCTGAGACTCCATTCTTCATTCCATTAAATCCCCATTTAATGTTGTGAGACCAAAACAAGAAAACGGCAGCAAAACACTTCGTAAATAAAAAGAGCCTGATAAATAAAAGACTCATTACTGTTCATCTCTGAGATTAAGGCTGACAGGGCCCTCCACCTCAGAATTCTCCACATGGCCACTTAAATCGCTTCCCTTTATACTGGTTTCAGAGGGATTTCAGAGAACTGCCCCCATTTCCTCCCATCTCTGTAATTTGTATTAAGTTTAGAGTAAACTACAAACGCCACAAGGGTGGAGACAAGGATTTTCCGGCAGGCCACTGCAGCTCCAGGACCTAGCAACAGAGCACGGCAGCATCACATAGAGACGCTCAAGAGAAGTTTTTTGGGGAGGGGGGGTCTGGCTGGCTCAGTCAGATCAAGAACATGCAACTCTTGATCTAAGGGTCGTGAGTTCGAGCCTCACTTTGGGGAGTAGATTATACTTAAAATGAATTTTTAAAAATTCTTTAAAAAATTTTTCAAAAAAATAAAAGGTTTTTTGTTTGTTGTTTTTTTGCTGCATGGAAGAAGCAGGCAGGAGAGAAGAAAATCACCAGAATAAACACCAGACAGACATGTGCATGTGAATTTATTACTAAAATGTTAATATTGTTAAAACAAGTGCCTAATCAAACAACTCAAAGCTATCAGGAATCAATGCAGCTGTTACCCTTGGGGCGCCTGGGTGGCTCAGTCGGTTAAGCATCTGCCTTCTGCTCTGGTCATGATCTTGGGGTCCTGGGATAGAGCCCCACCTGGCCCCTGCCCACATGCACCCAGCTCCCTGCCCAGCAGGGAGCCTGCTTCTCGGCCCCCATGCCCCTCCCCCCTCGTGTTCTCTCTCACTAGCTCTGCTCTCTCTCTCAAATAAATAAATAATCTTTTTTTAAAAGGTAGCTGTGGGGGGGGGGTACTGGAAGGCAGCTGGGGGACCACTGGGGGGCTGACAAAACCCTGATTACTGATCAGAGCACTGGTGCTATGTTTGGGATTTGGTTACTTTCTGTATACGTGCTATCTTTCAATCAAAGGGAAGAAGAAGAAGGACACGTGCCTGCAAGGAATGACGTGTGTGCCATTCACGTTACAGCCTGGTGAGAAGATGGGCACATCCCGGGCGCCCTGAGCTTCCAGCTCTGCGTGTGCCATTTACAGCACGACATGGGGAGTTCCAGCCCCTCGTGTTCTGACCTCTGCGCACACCCCCTATTCCACCTGCTGTTCCCCACCCCAAAGTGTGCGCTTTCTCCTTTCACACACCTCCAGTCCTCGCGGGCGCTCTGGACAGGGGGCCACACGCACAGACTGGGCACAAGGATCGGGAGCTTCGGGCTGGAGCCGAGGTAAGGCCCCTCTGCCAGTAAGTTTTCCTAACTTCGCTCCATGAATTCAAATATTTTAATATGAAACTATATAAACACTCCAAGAAAATATCAGTGTATTTTTCTCATTTTAAAGCAGGTAAGATTTTCTCAGCATGTAACAAAAACCAGAAACATAAAGAAAAAAAAAAAATCAACAGGTTTGAGGATATAAAAATTTAAAATTTTTGTGCCAAAATACAAATGAGATCAACTGGGAGACAGTAATTGCAATTAAGGTAAGAAACAGAAGAATGCTATTCTTAGGATATAGAGTTCTTAGAAATCACTTTAAAAAATTTTTTTTAAGATTTTATTTATTTAGGGGCGCCTGGGTGGCTCAGTCGTTAAGCATCTGCCTTCGACTCAGGTCATGATCCCAGGGTCCTGGGATCGAGCCCCGCGTCTGGCTCCCTGCTCAACGGGAAGCCTGCTTCTCCCTCTCCCACTCCCCCTGCTTGTGTCCCCTCTCTTGCTCTCTCTCTCCCTGTCAAATAAATAAATAAAATATTTTTTAAAAAAGAT